TTTTTCTCCACAATTTTAATTATAAGCTAGATATATTGCTGCTAACAGCAACAGGGATGAGTCAGTGAGTCAGTTGGGCTTGTGAATCATGATTCATGAGTCATGAGTCAGTAAAGTGATTCTCGAGTATTGAACGATTCGTTCATGATTCGCGCATCACTAAAGAGAAGTCTATGGAAAACCAGGCACACTCAGTAACGGCTTTCCTGATCAAACAGTCCTATTAATAAATGTTCTTCTGGTAATTATTGTCCCCAGTAGAGTCACAGAGGATGATGGTATGTCTCAGGCCTATCTCAGCATTGACACGCCGCTCGCCCACAAGCATGCTGTATCCCTGAGTTTCATGTGACGTCAGAGAACGACGGCTAAACAGTCAGCTGGAGGTCTGACTAACCTGCACGCGTGACATCAGAGGCTGCGTCCGTTTATATGACGTTTAAGCCGTCACTCAAACTTATCTCAGGACACACACTTTGTTGCGCACAGTCATGTGTGGTGTCGCTGACTTCCTGTGGTCTCCACATCACTGCTGTTTCCTGCGTGGACGCAGTTTAAGTCCAGATTCTAGTAAAAGTGTGTTTTTCTGTTACATTTGCAAATCTCAGTTTCTACAACACAGTTTTAACTGAGGGAAACGACTTTTCTGTGTTAAACTGTATAAAAGCTACCACGACACTATCAAAGGAGTGTTCCTGCCTCCACCATCCTGGTTACAAAACCAGGATGTGACGAGGGGCGAGTCTGACTGTGAGACCACATCCCGGCTGGGTTGTTAATCATGAGCTGCTAACATAGTATGTCCAAGTTTTATTAAAAATAGTTGATATGTGTATTCAGGCGGACAGTGTTCACTGAGGCTGTTTCTCAGTCTCCTGTAGAAGCAGACGGTTTTCTTCACAGCTGTTACCTCACAAAGATCGCAGGCTTTTCCACACTGGCTTCATGTGTCCCACCCAGAAGCTCCGTCCATGTTTTATATACCATCTATGGTCCACATGGCATTATTAATGTGTTACTATGGCAGTTTCCTTACAGTCAGTTTTCATTCGCAGTGAAGGACGTGAGCGAGAGGAAGGACGAGGGGCGGCCCGACCAAACAAGAAAAGTACGTTGAGAAAATGATTCCCCGTCAGAAGTATTAGAAGCAGCACGTCTGTGAACATCACCCCAACAAACGTCACTCGTTGGCTGATATTAGTTGTTTTGTGTTGACTGATGTGTTCAGAGGAAAGAGAGCGAGCAGGAGAAAACAGGCCGAGCAGAGCGACCAGGTAAGGTAGAGTTTATTATAGTTTACTGTTATTAAACCAACCGAAGATGGGTCCTGTGTAAAATGTGAATCTAGGATACAGTGATTTGAAGATTTCATGAAGAAAACCAAATGTTTAAAAATTTGATGCAGCAGCATCGAATCTTAAGACAGGAAAAGGTATGAAAAAAACAAAGAGCTTGAGAAACATTTTGCAGCAGGTCAGTGACATTGTTGGGTAGAAAAAGAGCGTCGTAGACGTAAACATGAGGTTTACCAATCAAAGGTTCAGTGTGGAGACTTAAACTCATGTGGCTCTAGCAGAAGTCAACACTGGGCCCCCCCAGAAGGCCCTCACCCCAGAGCTCTGGAAATAGGAACAGCTAATGTGGTCATAAAAACCCTTTTAACCATTTTATGGCTCTTTCATGTTCGTAGAGCTGCAACATGAAACCTACTCTCCACTGGTGGCTCCAGAGGATCCTCAACCAGAACCGTCACCAATCAAGGATCAAAGGTTCCTCCTTGTCTCGCACAAATACGACAGCATAGCTAACCATGTGCAGGCCGGCCTCGATAACAGAGTGCTGGCCCTCTACAAGAAGTTCCAAGTCTTCAAAAACAACTTGCCAGATCTGGGAAAACTCTCCGTCCCCTCTGGGCACCACCCACAGTCCTCTACACTGCAGACTGATGCTGCTGAGAGCAGGTTGAAAGGTCGACTGTATAGCTGCCCTGTCGATGTGCCCTCACGGTCCGTAGTCCAGGCCACTTGTCTGGGGGGACGTCTAAGCAGTGACTTGGGTGGTGATCCAACATTTACTAGTACAGAGTCCGCTGCTCATATTCAGCGCTCCACACAGCTGCTCCAAACCTCGGGACCAAGCGTGACCGAGTGGAGGAACAACCTGTACAAACTCATCTCTCTGCATGGCTTCCAGTCTGCACGGGCGGCACGTTTGCACA